AGCATCTACCTCACCATGGTCCAGTAGAGACCAGGCTTTGTCCTTTGATAACATTCACTACCCTGTGCAGGAAAAGCAACAGTGCCTCATGGAAGCATGAATAGCAGCAGCACATGGCTGGCATGAGGGGTGGGATTTGTTGCTTAGGGTGTGGCTTGCACCTTATCTGCCACTGTTCTGCCTGCCCCTTACCTGATCTGTGGTATGCCAAACACAGGCTGCTCATACCATTTGTGACACACATGCCTCAGGTTGGCCACTCCTGGTCTCTTATACCTGAAGGGCTAATTGTGTATATCTAACTGGACTAGAATGTTGCCACCCAAGTACCTGGCATGTACCCACCCTATTATGAATCAGCGTCACACTGCTCCAAAATATTTTCATCTGATCCTTTTGCCAGTAGAAGTCAGTGGCTAAACTCTTATTTAGTAAGAGCTGACTTAGATGATTAGCTGTTCATAGGATTGCCTGTGTTTTTTATCTTTTTTTTTTCCTGGCAAGCACACTGTCCACCAAAGTTTGGCTATATGTGATATTACACATTAGGGCATGAGTACAGTTTATCTCTGGCAAACATTCCCATACATATTCAGGGTATTCAGTTATGATTATTGTAGTATCCTGAGTGTTGGGCCATGTTGATCCATGATGTAATAGTATTAAAGCAGACAAGATTTCAGAATAAACCGAATTTTCCCCATTCATCAAGACAGTGAGGCTCATTTTAGCAAAACAGTACCAGAAGCTTGCCAAAGAAACAATAAAGTGAGCATCAGTCTATTGCAGGGGTTGTCAACTGGGGGTACATGAAAAGGCCCTAGAGGGTACGCACGAGCGGGTGGGGATGGAGCACCGCCACACATCATCCTGCGCAGGCACTGCCCACCCAGCTGGACATGGGGAGTGGGGGAAGCTCGCACGTGGTGGCTGCTGCCGCTCCACATTCAGCCCCCCTCCCTGGTCTGCATCTGGCTGTGTGCCACCTCTCCCTTCCTCCCCCCCACCGCTCCACATCTGACTACCGGAGGTACAGTGATCCAAAAAGGTTGAAAATCCCTGATCTATTGGTTAGTGATCAGTCTGACTGTAGCTTGTTGTGAGAGAGAGAATCCTGAGAGGTCATGGGAAAGGGTTTAAGTATCTTTATTTTCATGCAAGGTCCTTGTAAGTATAACATTAGGGTGTGGCTCTCATCAGCTAAAACAGTGTATCACCATTTGTGCTGAAAAGGAAAGAGGGAGCTTTTGCAAATGATTCTATTGTTCCAAATTTGGTTTTAGTATTGGCATCATGGTTAATTAGAGGTCTAAATAGAGGCTGTAGTTGTGCAATGCTGGAATTTGACATTCTTGATTTATTTAATTTCCTAGTAAACAGCTTGTTTTTGTGACTAAGACACTAAGGGCTTTGTTCACTTGATGGTTTCTTGCCCTTTATGAACATAGAAGTATTCAAACAGAAAACAGCAACAAAACAACTTAGTCCATTTTTGCTTTGAAACCTTTCTCATTTACAAATCTGTGTACTGCAAATGTAAACCATTTCTTTGTAGCATGAACATGTAGCATCTGATATCGTGCCCCCCCTGCAGTTGATAACAGTGCTCCTCGCTGACTTAAGGGGCACATGGCTGAGCCCTCAGTTTCATATTTGGCCCTTGCTGGACCTGTGGGCCTTCCCTTTAAAATTAGTTTTTCCAAAAGTACACTGACAGAGCATGCTGAAGAGAATGTGTGCCTTTATAATCTCTGTACACAGTCCTGCAGAGCACTTCAGTAGTTTCTACTGCTGTCAGCTCCATGTGAAAACTCTTCTGGAGCCATGGGGTAGAATGGGCCCTTCCTGAGGGGCAGTGGGTGGTGACATCATACTAGGATGGTTGACTGTTAATGACATTTTGTAATTTTTTTAAGTCATTAAATCATTCTGTAGGTGGGAGCAAGTACTGTTGCACCTTGTAAAAAGTCTCTTCTGGGTTTCAGCCAGTGCTGGTATTAACATACTGTATGGTACAGATGCCAGCAGTGGCTCTTATCTTCCCACCTCGCCATCTTCATGGACCCTTGCATAGACTCTGGAGGAAAAACATAATTTCTTGTGCCTACTCCTTCCTATTCCTAATAGCATACATATGCTGAGCAGCTTTTGTTGCTTCTTAATATCCTTTCTGGAGCTGAGCCAGGGTAGCTAGTGAAGGGCAGTAATTTGCTGTTCAGTTTTTCTAGGGATTATAGTATAATCGAAAGGGAAAGCATGGCAAGCAATCTCTCTGTTGGCGCTAGCGGATCCAAAATAGATATTTTGGATTTATTGTGGTTGTGAAGCTGAAGTGGGCTGAACAAGTATTAGAATATGTGGGTGCTGACAGACATGCAGCTCCCCAGTCTAACTCATGACACTTTACAGAAAGTGCTATAAATTAGACTGACACTCCCAATCCAACAGAGTTCACTGCTTGGATCGCGGGGTATGTGAGCCAGCAACCCTTTGAAACTGGTCAGGAAGAGAGGCTGCATGTCAATAGCAACTGGCCCCTAGCCCCAACTGCCCTCCAAGCCCCCATTCTCTCTCAGGATGGGAGGAGGGAAGGCAGGAGAGTGGGACTGGTCTGAGGTTTTCCCAGCTATGCTGGTGTGTGTGGTGATGGGGTGGATGGGAGCCCCCAGCCTGCATTCACTTCCCTTCCTTCCCCCCTCCCATCCTGAAGACAGCAGGTAGAGCAATGCTAGACTGCATCAGCTGAGCCCTGCTTCTGGCCGCGCTGACAGACGTTAATTAGAACCCTCATGCATGCAATGAGGGTTCAGATTATTGCACAATCAGGCATTTTTAAAGCATTCTGCAGCCATGTGCTTCTGTCAGTGCACAGAAGTAGAGCACTTTCAGTGGTCAATCACGCGACAGACTGTCACGTCTGTCAGCACTGTATGTGGCATTCCCAGTGTTCCTGAAGGAGGTTTTTCTTCTTTGTGTTGTTTTTTATTTTTTCCTGTGATATTATAAAACGTCACCATCTTCCTGGATTGTTCCTGGTATTTTGCCCAGTTTCCCATCCGCTCCCTCATAGGACAAAATGAAGATGCATGCCTCCTTCAAATATGTGGGCTGAGTGAAGCTCTTAGCAAGTTATACCCCAGGGAATTATGCACAGGAAAATTCAATATTAGGCACAGAAAAAATCAAAATTATGCTAAATTAATTACATTTATTTTTCAAATTAAACTAAATATAACACTATTTGAACCTAATTTAGAAATACATTCAGATATTTGTGTGTGGTGTGGTTGGATGGTGGGTGTCAGGTGTGAGAGGGTTGTCAAGGCGTGGGGGGCATGGGTGTGTGTGGGAGGTTTCTGGGCGGGTGTGCGTATGGAAGTGTGCAGGGTTTGTGGGGGAGTGTGTGGGACTTGTGGGTGGGTGTGGGCTTCCCTGCCACATGCCCCCTGCTGTACACAGCCCCTGCCGCCAGCAGGCCCTCAGGGTGCTCCTGGTCACATCAGGCAGAGTACCGGGTAGCACGCAGCTCCGACAAATCCTGGGGGCTGCATGTGGTGGCATGGAGCCAGTCCAGTTCAGTCTGCTGGCGGGCGCCTTTGGGCCAGACCAGGCTGGCTCTGTGCCAGCACATGGGGCTCGTGGCTGTGCACCACCAGGGGTTCTGCCTGCCCCAGCCAGGAGCACCCTGCGGGCCAGCCACCAGTGGCAGCCACTGCTGGTGGGAGCCGTGCACAATGGGGTGGGGTGTGTGGTGGGGGTGCCCACACTCACCCACAAACCCCACACACACACACATCCACCTCTCCTCCATGCAGGAGTTTCCCTCTCCACTCACCAGCTACACCCCAGGGAATTACATGAGATTTTATGCAATTATGCGCAGTCATATGTTTTATGCAGAAAATTACACGGGCACATAAATATATAATTCCCTGGTGTGTAGCAAGTCATTCCTGATGTTTTGCCTACCCCTAGTGTGATTCACCCAGCAACAGAAACTGTGTTCTCTAAAGAACAAAGCTTTTAACCAGGGCACCACAACAGTAATGCCAGACCCTAGCTTCCCCTGATGAGCTGTTTTTCTGGAGAGTTCAGGACTTCAGAGAAATTTTCCCAAAAATAATTTTGTCCCTTTAGAAACACTGAAACTCTTGATCTCCTCACAAACTCAGAAAGCTGTTAGGTTTCTTTATTTCTTTTCTTGCTTTATTTGAAATAGAATGTGAACAGGGAGGCAAAAAATGACAAATGAGTTGAGTTATATGCTGAGTGTATTTACCACACAGATGTGGAAAGGGGAGGAGAAAGCATTAATCAAAGAAATGAAATAAAGATTGATTAACTTCTTTTTTAAAAGTGTGTATGCATGGGGGGGGGGAGAGGGGGATGGAGAGGAGGAGGTCTCGTCTGTGGAGTTATTTTGGCACTTCCCAAAAAATCTCCAAGAATGCATCCTTCTGTGACATCATAAATACCATTGGCTGTGCTGTGACTTCTGGGGTTAGAGGAATTGTCTTCTAGAATATCTCCAGCAAACTAGAAAGTGTCAGAATAATTTGACAGAGAAGAAGAAAGGATTTGTTAATAGTTACAAATTAGTTCTATGTTAAATACCACTCCCAGCCTGATGCATAGGCAGTCAAACTGGTCTAGACTCGGTTTCCGTTTCTGCTCTATGCTGCTGCTTTAAAGGAGAGGTCTTTTCTGCCATCAGTTTTTGAGTTAATTCTTTCATTTAGCACCAACTGAAGTAATGGCTCTTGATGCATTGGGCATATACTGATAAGTGGTTAATACTCTGTAGTTGCATGTAGTTGCTTTTTCAAAGGGGATTGCAAAGCCACAACAAATGGAGTTAAACCTAGGCTTCAGGACTGAATAGCTCCACTAACTAGCCTTGGGGGGTGAGGGATTAAGCAAAGGAATAAGCTTTAATATATTTAAGAAATCAATTTTCTTTCTCTCTTTTCTCCCTCTCTTGTGTGTGTGTGTGTGTGTAGTGTGTGTATGTCTAGTCTCTTTGTGCAGCTGTTATATCTTTTCATTCCCAGCTGGGGCTCAAGACCATAGTACCACAGACCAGAGTCAACAGTTCCTGCATTCCCTCCTCTCCATTAGAAGAGGTAGTCAGTAAATTGATTTTCTGCATGTCATTAGGCTTCAACTTCCTTATACCCCCTTTTCCTGTAACAGGTGCTACTGGTCAAGAATGTTCCCACAACCCTTTGCACTTCAGTTAAAACAGCTTTCTAGATAACCACATTGTTAGAAAGACTAAAGAGTTTATTCTGCCACCAAACTTGAGAAGAGGTAGGCACTAATTTGTTTTAATGGCAGTTACATACAAGTTTTCATTGTATTGTTGGAATAAGAGGGGCCAAAATCTCCTTTGGGCCAGTGAGATTTTCCAGTGATTTTGACTGAGATTTGGCTTTAGATTGTCTGATGCCTAGCACTGTGTTACACATGTTCAGATGACCTGGGAGAATTCTTCTTCTCCCCAGACTGATCAGGGTCAGCTGGTGACTCCCTGCAGCACAATGTGCGATTATAAAGCGGGGGGTTGTTCTGCTTCCTGCTCAGCTGGAGTAGTAGAGTCCATCCCAAGCAACACAATCTCAGGGGCAGGGGCAAGGGCAAAACGCCCTGGGATGCTGGAGGACCGTGCTGTGATTTCTCTCAGCAGGGTAAATTGTACAGACATTTGCTGTCTCAGGAGAAACTCCTGGGAGTGAATTAACCCTGGTTGTTCCCAGGTTATTTTCCTCTTGGAACAGTCATTTTTGCTTTGGGAGAGAAATCCTGAACACCTGTACACTTGTGGTTTTTTCTCCTGGGAGAGCAGCCACTGAATGTTTGTATGTGGCCAGAAGTTTGTTAGAACCCTTAAGGATGGATCATTCTGTTGCTTTTTGAAAACCATTATCTAAGAGATTATTTGGTGAGGAGAAAAATAGCCTGCTCTTTAAAGTGCTAGAGACTGGGCTTTAATGATTTCCAAACAGAATATCCTCTCTGAGTCCTGCAACAATTTGTCGCTAGTCAGATTCCTGTTGCACAACCCCTTGCTCATTCCCTAAAAGCCCCATCAGAATCTTGACTGAAGCTAATGCATTTTGCCTGGTTCATAATCATTTGGATTTCTATTTTAGAAACCATTTCCTGTTTATTTTGATTCCCTGTTGTAAATTCCTGTAAGAAAAAACAAACACAACAAAATAAGTCTGTATCTGTGCATATCTCTCTCTTCTTGGAACACAGACTAGTTTACTCCAACTTCTCTAAGGAAATATCTCAGTTAACTAATTGTTGTTATCACCAGGGTCAGTGGAAGTTTATGAAACCTGTGCCTTTGCATACACGGACTGAATATAGCCCTGATTGTTTCTCTCTCTGTTGTTCACTGGTGATAACAGTGTGTGTCCATTTAGAAATGGCTTCTCTGTTTCAGTGATAATGATGTTATCAGACCCAGAATCGTTTTCTGAATGTCTGACTCCTGCAAACATTTCTAACACCAATGCCAAACAGGACTTAGAACAGACAGACATTTAAATAGGGGTGAAACGGCAAGGAGAGATCTGCAAAACCAGTTGCAGGACTGCTAGGAGTGGGGTAGGGAAGAGGTAGAAAATGGATAGGGCCATCAAAAGAAGCAGGTAAAACACTATGTACTTTATGATGCCACAACATTTTTTTTTATTAATATAAGGAGTAAATTTAGCCTCAGCAAACATTTAAGAGGTGGCAAATGCAGGCTCAGAGTGAATATTTTGGCAATGAACCGTTCACAGATGCACTCTGTGGAGGCACTAATGTGGCAAGTAGCTTAAAAACTTTTATCAGATGTAGCGTGTATAAAATCAGGCTCTTCTAGACCCCCCCCCCCTTGTCTACCTCATGTTTCTTATGATCCCATCCCTATTGTATCTTGAGTTTCTCAAGTAGGAGGCAGAAAACTGAGTACCAGGTTGTGGCTTTGCCTGCTCATTATTGTACTTGGGAGGGTGGAGTTTGCTTCCCTCTAATCCCAGAGACGCAGAATGGGCAGATCTGTGACACCCATTGACATTCTCCGCTTCTGCACAACAACCTGACAGCCTCCTAAAGAAGATAAATGACGGCTAGCTGACTTCCCTAATAGTTGTGCAGTAGCAGCTGTAGAGAGGAGAGGTAACGTTTATCTGGCTCATCTATTTTGATTCTAAGGAAACCACCACTATGGTGTATAGGCTCCAAATACCTGCATTAAGAGCCTGTAGAGGTTAACACAGCTCTACTGCACATTAACACCCAGTTTTTCCATTGAGAAAACACCACTTGCCAGGATTAGAAAGAAAGCAGCGACATTGCAGCAATAAACTACAAAGAAGTTGTTTACTAGTCTTTTTTCTCTAAGAACGTGTGGGTGCATGTCTATACATGGAAGATTGTTAGAGGAGGATGCTGTACAAATGGAAAAATGAAGTTCTTGAATCTACTCTCCACATTTATTCTCAATAAGTTTGGTGCCACACAGTGGAGATGATTCAGAATGCAAATGGGCCTGGAAAGGTCAGTAAAAGTGTGTAAACCCTTTGACCGAACCATTTATTCCTGACCTGAAAAAGAGCATTTTGTACTTGAAAGTTTGTCTAACATTTCTCTCAACTATACAGTTGGCTTAATAAGAGATATCACAAGCTCCCCCCCTCCCCCTTCCCCCTCAAAATCTTGCTTCTTGCATTCATCCATCAACACTTTTGTCTGGAAAAGCAGATTTTGTAAATTCTGACCACTTTTTGCTAGTGAAATTCAAAGTCAGCTGAACACCTCTGTACTTCAGATACCTTCTGGTTTTCCCCACAAGTAACTGGTACTGTATGATGGTTTTAAGGTAAAAGTTCAAGTTGCTACTTTCCCCTCAAATCCTAAAAGTTTCTTCCAGTAAGCAATATGGAGCAACGGGCATTATTCTAATATTATAAAAACTGTAGTCTGTCTGTCTGTCCATACCACTGTATTCACACTCTGATTGGCTGATGGAAACAACCATTCAGAGTGTGAATACAGTATCTGGACAGGAGGTGGTGGAGCACCGCCATGGTGGGGACATGGGACAGAGTGGGGCCTGCCCCCCTCCCCGCTCTCTGGAGGTGGCGGCAGCAGAGTGGACAGAACAGGGGACGGGGCGGGGGGGGCAAGCCCAGCTCTGCTGGCCCCATCCAGCCCCCCTCCCCCTTCCTCCTTTGAGGTGGAGGTGGAGGGGGAAGCGGAGGCAGCCGTGTGGGGGGGAGCGGGGTTGGGATGCTGCAGGCAGGGGGTTAGGGTTAGGGGTAGAATCGTACACTACAGTGAGGTCCTCCTTCATACAGGTCTCATCAAGGAGTCTGCAAATGAGCAGGTGCTTCATGGTTCGTTGTTCACCACACTTGCATGTATTTGTGTCATTTAGAGCAGCTCCATTTGATCATGTTTATTTTTTGATCTTACACTTTGCTTACTCAGGCAGTTCGGGCATTGCCATGTTGACCAATCTGTATCAACCCCTCTGGGAAGGTCCTTCTGGGGTTCCAGGTCCATTTCAGAGCATCTGATTGATAATACTTCCTTCCATAACTTCAGTCATGCCCTGTCAGCCGTCTTGCCCAAAGGCACAACACTGGTCACAAATCTCTTTCAGGCTTTAAGTTATTTAGTGCCTCCTGTGTGACCACAGAATGCATGTCTGGGATCTTCCATCTGCCATGATCTTTATTTTTCGCTTGCTTCCTTTCTTCTGATATCAGGTGATACAATTGCAGCCAGTAAGTACAGTTTATCGTTTGGGTACCATGAGATCCTTTAAAGGGTACTGCAAAATATTAGCAGTGCTAAAATATTAGCACTGTAAGGTGCATAACACCTGCACATAATTCACAAGACAAACTCAGAAATTTCAAATAGGAATCAAATTCATTTCTGCCCTGTTGTGGTCTTTCTGAATTATTTGCATAGTCACAAAATGAATGAAAGCTAAGAGCTAGCATGTTTTGAGGGGGTGCCTGGAGTCTAACAAAGTTGAGAACCACTGGTCTACAGGTATATCTGAACTATCCTCATCTGGCACTAAAGAGCACCATGCTGAGATGCAGCCTGACCACTCCAGATGCCCCTAGCTTCTGACCCAGAAGTATTGTGCTCAGCTTAGTGCTGTGCTGGGTACATGCCAATAAGTTCTGCCTTTTGGGAGAGCTTGCTGCTGCATGCCCAGCCCGCACTAAGCTGGCGACACTTTTTCTGTTTGGGAGGTCATTCACGTGGTTTATATCAGTATGGCAACCCTTGAGTTGTCCAAATGCTACATGGAATCTGCATGAATACCTCTTGCCTCAACTCTTCTGTTCCCCACAACTCCCAGTGCTGACCTACCCCTTGTAGATGCTTTCCACAAAACAGTAAGGGAAGCAATACAAATTAATGTGATAGTAGGCTGTGTTCACTTGCAGTTAGTTCCATGCAGGTTCTGAGGAAGATCTGGAGGGCCCCTGCTAATTTTATGGAGCTCCCATTTTTGGACGGTGAAACTTGCTGATATGAAAGGAAACAAATATTAGATGCTTAAAAATATGTTTTCAAAAAAAGAACCAACAAAAGTCATAAGTACAAGGCTGGGGTTGCTGCAGCTGCCATCCTGACCCGGACAGACAGTTGCCTGTGTAGCAAGTTCGCTGTTGTTCCAGGTTTATTAAGTAAATCAATATATGATGTGAAATAGTGTTCTCCTTATTCACAGATTATTTGCAACAGGCAGTGAAAATGTCCATGTGCCTGAGCCCTGACCCACAGCTCTTCATATTTTGTCAATCTTAATCCTTGGCCTCCTTGCTTAAACTGCTAGGTATGATATGATTGCCTGGTAAAACTGCTTCAGCATTTCCTGGATACTTCATTGTTGGAGCAGTCAGTAAGCACCACGAGCCACAGACCTACAAATGAGATGCCCTAACTTGTTCCCAAACCCTAAGTCCTCCATTTTCCCAACATGGCTCATAATTACATTGGTTGTAGTTGATGTGGTAGATTTAAATTTCAGGAATATTATTTAATTCTGTATACAATTAATCTGTATTTTTAAATATGTAACTGTGCTCTCTACAGTATCCCTTGCCACATGACAACTTAAATGCCTTGTTCCATGTGTATAATCAAGAGTACCATTAAAATGTCCAGGCCTGAGAGGATAATGAATGAGCAGAGCTCCCTCTGTGGAATAACAAAAGCCCCCTGAACTCCATGAGTTAGTGTGAAAGGTGTTAGCTCAACCCTTCGTATATCACAGGGAGATTAACTGACATTTAATGTGTGTATTTTGGCTCCCCACTAAAATGGCCTGTTTTCAGGGATGGCATGAAGGTTTGAATGAAAACTGAAAACTCTGAGACCCTAAGTGCACTCTGCACAGACACTGATGGTCCCATGGTAATTTGAATGAGTCCCTTTAATGAGTAATAGGCTCATCATTTTGCTTGTCTTCTCACTGTAGTCTGTTTTGTGTCAGTTGGAAACCACCTTCCACCTACCAGTATTTTTTTGGTGTTAATGTCCAGCCTGCTCTTGCAAATGTGATCTACAGCTTACTCTTATGAGCAGTAGCTCCCCTCAGGTCACTGTCCATGTACAGCACAGCAGAGATGTCAGTGTCTTGATGTCAATGGGACTGTTTGTAATAGCATATACACTGCAGGGTAGGAACTGTTTGCAGAATGGTACCATTGTATTGTAAAGCATTTAAAGAGGAAAGGTGCTCTGTAAAGTCAAAAATATTTTCATACCAAACTACAGAATCAGAGCTGGTCACATACCTTCCATTCCAGATCCAAACTTCATAGCTTAGATACAGCCATATAATGGACTAAACCAAATTCCAGATGGAAAATTGCAGTTGGGAAAGTTTCCAAATTGAATTTTGGATCCAAACTGCAATTCAAGTCCAACTTTAGAGAAGATTTACCACTTTTAGGGGTGTATAACTGCATTTCATAATTGGAACTTCTTCCTCTAGTCTTACATTCAGTGACAAAGATGGAATCCCATTTTTTACACTAACTTAAAAGTCCTTTTTGCTTCACAACCAGAGAGGATACTTGCAAGTAATTTATCTTTTTTATGGGGGATGAAGCAACATTTAGCAGGCACAGTTTTGGAATTAATACAGTATTAAAGTTGTCAGAAATGATAAAAGATTTTATGCTAATTGCCAATTATGTGCATTGCCCTTGAAGATAAGAGAGAATAGTGCAGATATGTGACATACAAAGCCACATGGCAATGGCTAGCATGTGAGATGTGGAAATCATAAATGTGCAGGCACTGTGTGCATATTGTAACGCCAGTGACCTTTGATATTTAATTCCCTCTCTTGTTTTACAGAAGGAGATGACAACCAGGATGTGTCACTAAAGAGCCACCCATTGAACATGAGAGAAATCCAATTTCCTCCTTCCTGCAGAGCTAGAGGATGTGATCACCTTCGCAGACTGAACCTGCCTGTTAAATCCCACTAGCAGGAAAGTTGAGGACAGAAGGTTACTTTCACAGATGCTTCCCACCATTATCTATGCTCTTAACCCTATAATGCTGCTAGAAACTTCCTATGAGTGACATGGATTACCAAGAGAGAGCATTAACTTCGTTTTTTAAATTGCTGAATTATTGAGGAGGAACTCTTCAGTCACAAACGATGATAGTCCATGTTCCTACTGTTCAAGCTTTACTGGAAATCAGGTTTCTAGGTTGACCTGTGCATTTTTAATTTGGACAAGAACATGGTAATTAGTTAAAAATGTTTTTCTGTATGTACTTTGCTTTCCAGGTATGGCATAATATTAAGAAGAATCCCAGCAAGGTTCTAATTGAACTTTGTGTCCCTTCACACCACCCAAAATGTGTTGGTAAAGCTTCCCCAATACCAGATGCCTCAGCATCTGTAGGAATGAAACTGTTTTCTCCAGATCAGGCAGGATGGAATTTGATTGCGGTTTTTTTGATTGGGTTTTTTTGCTTTTTTTTTTCCATTTTGACTCTTGATCAGATAACAGCAGGGCAGATTCTCACCTCTGTAGAAATCCAAGGTAACCTCAGTGGACTCACTCTAGGATTTACAGTCCCCTTCATTTTTCCCTGCCCTATTTTTATTCCTCCCTACCCCCACCACCACCACCCCCCTCCACACACATGCACACGCTTCTGTCTTTCAAGGTGAGGATGTCCCTCATACGGTGTAAATTTAAGATGATCATTGGTATGAAGGTTACATCAGGGCCACAGGGTATGACATTACTAGAAAAGTCCAGTATGTCATTTTCAGTGTACAGTCTGATTTTAAACCACTGATAACAACATCTCATTCGCTTAGGTAACACGTGACTGCTGCCACAGGGCTCTTTCTAAATATTTGAAATAGTTTCTACTGAAGGAGGGTCTCCAGGGACAGAGTTGAACAAATGGAAAACAAGTAGTACAGTCCCATGTATTCTGTGCCTTCTAAGGAATTTCGCATAGCCCTTTTATTGTATAATAAAGATAATACTTTCCTGGGCAGTTCTTGAACCTGTTCCCTGATATCCATCTATTCCCAATCCACCTGAATGATTTTAACAGTCTTTACTTCTGAGATCATATTGGAAATGAATTCCACAGTGATGGGGTACCAGCAATGAGTTGTGCTAAACTGAAATGTAGCTGTCAGTAAAGAAGAACAGCAAGCATATGTGAGCTTACTGTATTTTCTCACATACACCATGCCCCAAAATAAAGCATGCACCTTGTATTTGACAGAAAGAATGTAGGGGAAAAAAAGATTTTTCCGGAGTCATGGCCAACGGCATGACATAGAGTTAAAAGTCTTCCCAGGTAATGTGGCTTCAGGACCTTCCAGATGTGGTACAGTTTCCTGCAGTGCCACACTTCCTGGATACTGTGGCTAGGGACAGACATTCAAAATACCTGAGCCTGAATTGATTCAGTCTTCGCAGGTTAGTCTAACCTGGCTAAGCTGAACTGGTTTGTAAACATCTCAGACATGCAGGCACATGCCTGCAGTGGCACAGGCTAGAAGCTAGGGGGTGTTACAGCAGCCCTCCCATCCCTTCCACAGCACTGAGTGATGGGGGGCATGGCCAAACCCTAGCAGGATGCTCTGATTAGCCTAGCAGGGAATTGATAACAGTGTCTATTACCCCTAACTCAGTGTTTATCACCCCATTAAGAAAACAACAGAGGAATATTACCAGCTACCTCTAGATTCTGCCTGTTGATTCTACCTGTGGATTCAGCAAGGACCATAGCCAGCATGTGGTCTGCTAGCTAATAACCAGACAGCTCCTCAGCAAGGCAAAAGGGAGGGAGGAATTCCTACTTAGCAGGGAGTGGTGAGGGGAAGGGAGTACAGCCTGCAATCTGTGCTGGAGCTACAGCCAGGGAGCAGAGGGGAGGGGCCAGCTCTGCTGTGGACCAGAGACCCCCGCCCAGCCCAGAGAGCATGTCCGGATGCTGGGGAGTCGTATTTATCGTAAACCAGCAAGGGTCTGGGGCAGACATCGCATAAATCGGTTTGACCCAAATCAGTTAAGCCTGATACTTCATTCAACCAGGTTTATCACAAACTGGGGTTTTTTGCCATTTTCAAACTGGTTTATGTGCACTGAACATCTGTTCTGTTACAGATTTAAACCAGTTTCTGATCACTTAAACTGTTTTATGTGTAATGGCTGTCCCTAGCCTGTGTGTTCCCAGGAGGACTTACTCTGTGTCATAAAAGGTTAGGTCCCACACTCTTGAATAGGGCTATAGCTCTGAGAGGGGTAACATAGGACTTAGGCAGTCACAAGCAGCAGTCATCTTGTGGTAGCTGTGTGGTATGCATGGTGCTCCTTGCCCAGTTAAGACAGCAACTTCCCCACTTAAAGCATGCACCTCAATTGTGGGGGGAAAATGTGTGTTCTGTATGTGATAAAATGCAGTACATAGTGTCTTACTTGCTTAATTGAACAAGCATGCAGCAGAGGTGCAGAAAGCAATGATTTGCCTCCCTCCAGGGACTAAGGGCTTGATGTATGAAGTGTTCAGCGTTACTGGAATGGAAACTTTTCTGTGGCTTTAGAATTATGCAAATATGCAAATAGCATTAACCTTTGCCTTCAAGGGAGGTTCAACTTGCAGGTTAATGTACAGGACTAAAGAAGTGCTCCTACCTCTTTCACTGCTCTTTGCAATCAGGTTTGCTCTTTGGAAAGCACACAAAATCCTGAACATTCATTTGGTTGAGGGCTGCACAGTGCTGAATTGACTAGTAGAACTCATTAACATAAGACAGAGGTGTCAAACATCTGGCCCATAGTGCTTCTGGCCAGAGGTGCCAGCAGCAAAGAAGTTAAAAATGCCACCACTAAACCCCATCACCTGTACTCAACCCTGCTGCAGCAGCACTATATCAGCACAGCTAGTCCCCAGGGGGTGAAGGCTGACAGTGAATTTACTGGTGTTGATAGCTCCTGTTGACTAAAATTAGTGGTAGTTAGCAATGGGGGTTGAGCAGTAGTGGTTTGAATTTCTTGGCTGGGGGCCATGCCAATTCAGCACCTCTGGCAGCCATGGTGAGAACCCATGCAGATTAGATCCAGAGTTGTCTGGTTCATGAGAAATCCTATGGTCCAGGACCAGCCCACCAACTCATTTGCGTTTGACACCTCTACCAAAAGGTATCAATAAAGCCAACATTTTAATGAGCTTGTTACAGAAGTGGGTGTTCATAAGGTTAGACAGAAGGTTAAACAGACACAGTATAGATGCTAATTACCTGGAGTTAAGGAAGAGCTTCTTTTATAGTCAGATTATTCCTTAATTGCCCATTAGAGGGGATTTCCTACATTTATTAGAACTCTGGTTCTGGCTTCTATGGCTAGGGACAGACATTCAAAAAGCCTGAGCCAGAATTGATTAAGTCTTTGCAGGTTAGTCTAACCGGACTAGGCTAAATCAGTTTGTAACTGCATGGGCATCCTAGACATGCAGGCACATACCTGCAGTAGCTCAGGGTAGAAGCCGGGTGGCACTAGAGCAGCCTTCCCTTCCCTTCAACAGTGCTGAGCTGAGGAGGCGTGGCCAGGCCCAGCAGGACGCTCTGATTATGGATTAGGGAGGGGTTCCCCCCACCACCAGCCCAGCAGGGAATTGATAACACAGTGTTTATCACCCCTAACTCAGTGTTTATCACCCCATTAAGAAATCAACAAAAAGACATTCCCAGCTGCCTGCTGATTCTGCCTTTGTCCTGTCTGCCATTGCACAGACTGTAGCCAGCATGTGGTCTGCTAGTCAATACACAGACTGGTAAGGGGCAAGGCAGAGGGGAAGGGAGGGGGGAATTCCTGCTTAGCAGGGAGTGGTGAGGAGGTTGGGGGGAGCAGCCTGCAGTCTGTGCTGGAGCTGAAGAGGAGGGGCCAGCCCTGCTGTGAAGCAGAGACCCCACCCAGCCCAGAGAGCAGGACAGGATGCTGGAGGAGTCTGGTTTAACTTAAACCAGCAAGGGACAGACATTGCCTAAACCAATTTGACCCAAGTCAGTTAAGTCTGATACCGCATTCAAGCAGATTTATCTCAAACTGGTTTCAGTCATTTTCAAACTGGTTTATGTGCATTGAACATCTGTTCTGTTACAGGTTTAAACCAGTTTCTGATCACTTAAACCAGTTTGTGTAATGTCTGTCCATAGCATATCAGAGATAGTGTCTGTCTCATGTGGCAAGTTCTAGGCTCTTAAAATTCCCCATTTGTAAGGGTTAAGATAAGTAGCAATTCACAACCAGTAATTTCCACAGCTGTGAAGTATTGCAATACAAGTGCAGTATAAGTCTGTTATAAAGTAGATGGAATGTTTATGCAGAAAATCAAACTATTGCTAGATAAAATCAAAGAGCCTAATATTTAATATACAAAATCATTTTTGTTCTAGGTTTCACTAAAGCCACTTACTCTATATACTGTTTGGGTCTAATGAACATTGTGCAATTCTAAAATGTGCAGGAATTAATTCCCAGTTATTTTGAATACTGTTTTTGTGTAACTTTATTATGATTGTAATAATTTCACTGTATTTGCAAAACTGTTTGGAGGGCAGGATGTGTGTGTAGGCATGCATGTGTAGTTTTAAACTGTGTTTCAGTCCAGTTTTAATAATTTTTGAGCTCCCTAATGGGCTCTGTGTTACAGCGCATAAGATGGAGCAAAGGAGGGGCTATGTGTTGCAGTGAGAGAACCTCAAAACATTAGAGGTAGCTCAGTCAAAATTCCCCTGGAATGGCATTAGGAGAGCTTGTTCTAGAACAAAAGCAGCCACAGGTATTGAAAGGTGTTATATGTGCTTGCTTTTTGCATTGGCATTTATGGACATTGGATGGAGTCCTGCCCTTGACCCATTCTGCTTGGCACGTAAGCCCTGATACTAACATTGTTTTTTCCTGTGAGCTGAGGAACATAAGGATAGGTATTGTGCCTGGCCTCTGTGCATGGGCACATGAGGGAGGTAAAGGGTCCAAGTGTTTCCTTCCCTATTGCATTCATGTGTCAAAACCTATCAGGCAATAACACCATCTATAACATAGGCATCTCATCTTTGCATAACCAAGTTTGTGATTACAGAGAGTTCATGCAGAATCCCCAACCCCCCAGAGCTTGCAGTCCTAGGCAATAATGACGTGAATGCTCCTGCATTACTGCACTGAAAGTACCATATGCAAGCGTTGGGCTTTGGCAGATTATTTCCCAACAATGTGTAAAATACTCCTGTATCTTACTGCAGCTAAGTGCAGTGGCCTTATATTAAATAGTGTGACATGACTCAGGGCTAGCTTATACTACAGTGTTTTGCTGACAAAACCTTGAATTCATCTACGCTCTGTGGTGGTAGGAATCTCCTCTGGTCCTGACAGGAACATCACATCTGTCACGTGGAAGAAAGATTCTGCCAGCTGCTGCAATGGAGCCACAAGGAGCTGTCAGAAGCACATGGACAGGTACAGGCTGTGGTGGCTGAAGACTGGTGGCTATTGTCTACTACCAGAACTTCTGCTAGCAGAGCCATGTCAATGTAGACAAGGCCTCATTTCACCCAGCTGTGCTCCCAGAGCCAGGCTTTAACCCCTGCCCTCTGACAGTGTATCTCCAGTAGCTTGCTTTTTGTTCCTTCCATTCCTTCCATAAAGAAAGAGAAGCAGAGGGTGGGATGGAGGTGCCTTTAAGGATTGCAAAATAGGATCTGATATGCATAAAATAGGAATATTGAGGCTGCCAACTCAGTGCTTTAGGAAGAGGATTATAGCAGGGGATGCACAGCATCAGCAAGCTGTCAGCAGTGGGTTAGTGTGTGGATTGGAAGACTTTGAGAGATTCAAACTAGGTTTCTTCTATCAGTTCTGACAGCAAAAATAAACCAGGAACAGCCCCTACATCAGTAATAACAGGCTTCTGGTGTTGCTCATTTCAACTTGAAGTCATCAAATCTGAACTTTTATTTGCTCTTTATAAAAGAGAGGGAGGTAATGCTGTTGAGGAGGGAGCCAAACAATGTTGAAGCTTTCAAAGGGGATAATTTTTATTTTCCATTTAACAGATTTTTGCTTTTTTAATGGCTGTATTATTCTTACAACAGAATATTCTCCCAAGTCAAATGATGAATTAGTCTTTTGAGCTTTTGTGCATAGTTTATCCCCCTCAAAAATAGAATGAGAGGGGGGTTTTGTTTGTTTTTCCTAATTTTAAAGGAAAAGGTTGTTTTGAACTAAATACAAAGGTTTGAGCCCCCTTTTCTCTTCCATGCATCAGCGCTGTTCATTAGTTTTCAGTGATGTCAGAAAATGTGTTTTTAGACTATTTTAGTTCTGTTTGTGATTCAAAGAAGAGTTCAGTTGAATGAAAAGAGAGACTGTCACTAATTACTAAAGTCATAAAACAAAAGCGGGATAAAATGAATGACTACTTGGGAAATC